CTACCGTGTTATAACATTTTCAGGAACTGTCAGAAGTGGGCGAAGGAACAGATGATTAGTTTTTGGTGGTGATCCGGGTCAATAATCAATAATAATAATAATAAAATGTTGCCTTGGCGGAGGTCTGCGCTCTCGGAGTGCTTTTCTAGTTTTTTTTAGTTAAATGCCCTCGTAGCTGCAACCCATATACACGTATACGTCTTTTTCCAATTTGGCTCTCAGACCTGGGGTATCAGAGAAAGTAGCGATTGGGTACGGGGCCCTGTTCAAGGGGATCAATTTATTAGTGTTTTAAAATTATCTCACCTGGAACCGCCCTCTCCTCCCCGTTATCTATGATTTCAGGAAGGGCGTCTTGGTATTCATCCTCGCTGTCTTCTTGTACAGCTAATTCCTTGCGACGAGTCTGTTCGTCTCTAAACTCTGCCGGAAAACACCGCATCTGAACGGAACAGGATTTGCACTTTCTTATCATCATGTCAATAGTCAGAAGCAGTATTGAAAGTGACATTAGAGCCGTCAACATAATTTGGGAGTTTTTACTGTTATAACGTCTTTCCTTTTCACCGAGCCACTCCGCAAAATCGAAAGTGACGGAAAAGGTGGAGATAAGAAGAAAAAGCAGTACCGTTACACTGGACATAGCCTTTAGCAGATTTGCCTACAAAATCTATAGATGAGCCAACGGTATTATTTTCACAGTCCTCTGCTCGTAAGTTGAAAAGCAGTGTCACAACGTTACTGTGTAACTTGATATGTTTTATCAGTCACTAAAAACATTGTTCCCGGTACTTCAATCGACACAGATAAAGGTATGCCGGAGTATTGTCCCATATCTTGTCTGGTATTACTGTGTATATATTAACAATTGGCAATCATAAGTTCCACCAATCATTTATCACACGGACTTCTATCGACAGCTGTTTACCAGATAAGAAACATACGCTGAACTTACTCATTCCTGGAACAGAATAATACTGACAAACGTAGTCCACGTACATTATCTAACCTACTCTCTACCATGGCCGCAGTTATTATTGTGAACATTTTTGCTGTCTTTTTATCTATAGACATATCTGTGAATATCTGTGGAAAATCAATCTGTCTCCCTGGTAGAGGGTATATCTAATCTATGTCCACGTATCTAATTTAAACAAACAGACAAAAGTTTAGCATATCGACATTTTAGGCTCGTATGTGTTTGTATCTAAAATCTGCGAGACCGTGAAATGTATGCCATGCCATCAACTTTACATACAGGTAGTATATAGTGCCATAATATTTAAATGAGAAATACAGTATTATCAGCTTTAAGGGTGCTGTTTATGTACATATTAATGCTGGTGCTGAAACGCTGATAACGGAAATAAATTATAAAAATGGCGGCATTACAAGAAACGACTTTATAAAACTTATCATTACTACATGTATTACATAAATAATAGTTTTAACTAGTTTTAACTTAAAAGCCTGCCATTTCACGAGAAACTCAACCCAATAGCGGCAAGGTGGGGGTCAAAAGATTTTAATGTAAATTTGTGTGAAGATGTGTCCTAAGAAGTTATGAGCTTCTGTGAAGTAAAATGGAAAAATACCCATTCTTGGCAAAAATATGAGGTGAACAATATTTGCAATGGTTTTGCCTCAAGATGGCCAGTTTCACTCTCCTTAAATTGTGGTGCATATACNATCAATCTGTCTCCCTGGTAGAGGGTATATCTAATCTATGTCCACGTATCTAATTTAAACAAACAGACAAAAGTTTAGCATATCGACATTTTAGGCTCGTATGTGTTTGTATCTAAAATCTGCGAGACCGTGAAATGTATGCCATGCCATCAACTTTACATACAGGTAGTATATAGTGCCATAATATTTAAATGAGAAATACAGTATTATCAGCTTTAAGGGTGCTGTTTATGTACATATTAATGCTGGTGCTGAAACGCTGATAACGGAAATAAATTATAAAAATGGCGGCATTACAAGAAACGACTTTATAAAACTTATCATTACTACATGTATTACATAAATAATAGTTTTAACTAGTTTTAACTTAAAAGCCTGCCATTTCACGAGAAACTCAACCCAATAGCGGCAAGGTGGGGGTCAAAAGATTTTAATGTAAATTTGTGTGAAGATGTGTCCTAAGAAGTTATGAGCTTCTGTGAAGTAAAATGGAAAAATACCCATTCTTGGCAAAAATATGAGGTGAACAATATTTGCAATGGTTTTGCCTCAAGATGGCCAGTTTCACTCTCCTTAAATTGTGGTGCATATACATGAGAATAATTTTAAAAGGAATAAAATATTTGATATCATGTAAATATTTGGTTAGAACAAACATCCAACATCACAACCAAGTTGTTTTTAAAGGATTTTATCACCCCCTGTAAATTGATGCCCGTTTTTCTCACCCCTCCCCCAAACCACTTTTAGATCCAACCCTCAAGATCACCTAATGCAGTGGGGAGTAGACTCATGAAACTTGCCATGATTATCAATAAAGAATAGTTCTAATAATATGAAAAATAAAAATCACTGCACCTTTTTTTGGGTTGGGAGATATATGCCCTAGAAAATAGAGATTTTTGACCTACTTTTTGTCATTCCTCACAGCATCTGCAGGTGGAATGCACTTTGTCCAGTGGAATCTCTCACTAAAGCAAGGAGTGTTACCCCAAATAAATGTAACAAATGTTTTTAAAAGAAATTTCATCATATGTTTATTTAAGTAATTTGAAGGCTTTTAAACCTGGACTTAGTGATCTTTAAGCTGGCGTCACACAAGGAAATGTGTGAGAAATTGGATACCTCACAAAATGTTGTAAAAATGTAAAAAGATGGGCTAGCCAGTGCTATGGGCACATTCTCAACGAAGCTTTCATTCTACCTTGAGCAATCCAACCCCATGGGTACTCATGCTGAATGCAATCAGGTTAACAGATTATCACGTCTCTTCTTGTTTCCTATGCATTCTTAGGCTCTGTTCCCATAGGTTTTAGATCGATCTATCCCCGCGGGGAGTCTCACTAGATTACTTTCAGATAATCCGANTCACTTTACAAGAGTATGTGGCCAATTTTTTTACATCGTAGTTACTTTTTCATAAATTGACGGGGGGCCAACTTACCCCGGGGTCCAACTAGCCCCGGTCTCCCCTATTTTGGGACTAAATTTTATCCGTACTTCCCCAATACACCTACTGCAATCTGGCACAATCCTAGGAAATTACAACATTGTTGACGCAGTCTATTTGAACACAAAGAAATAAGGAACTATATTTTTACGTGGATGGCAAAGAGACTCATAGGGACAGAGGATGGGGTGTGGGTGTGAAGTAAATTTCTTTCAACAAGATATTTACCGCATGATGCATATATATATATATATAGGCCTTCTTTTGTATTTTGATCTGGGCCGACACGGCTGTAGGGCTTTATATCAATTAACATGAAGGTAACAGATTAACTTTGCTCTCTCTCTCTCTCTCTCTCTCTCTCTCTATATATATATATATATATATATAGCAGCGTATTTTCAAACGAACATTCAATCAAATGCTTCTATTCGTGGTATCTTTTCAAAACATCATTATTTAACTGCTAAAATATCACATATTTACAATCTATTCCCATATTTATATATTTCACGCGGCGTGAATGACGAGGCATAGGCCTAAATATCCCCACTCCCCAACGCTTCCAGCTCTAAAGACTGAAGTGGCTGGAATAGAGGCACCCCCCCCCCTTCCCCCATAGGCCTATCCCCCAGCCCTGCTCCTAATATGCTCCATCAACTCTCGTTTTCTGGTTCATTATTATATAATCCGCGTTTCTCGACAGCCAAGCAGTTTACGCGGTCTGCTGTTTTTTGGGGAGAGACAAATGAAATATATCATAGATAGATCATTTGTCTCTCCCCAAAATACAGCAAAAGATATAGATAGTTAGATAGATAGATAGATGTCTGCAAAGTTTTAAGGTGCAAAACTAGAAAAGTTGATTAGTTTTTCACCCTTTTCTGTGGTTCCGGATCCAAGATTCGCAAATATTTCGCTGGAATCCGAGTTGATAATTTTTTCTCCCACGTTTCACCCAAAAACGTTCCATACCCAACAAATCGATAATCGTACATGGGATTTGTATACAGACAATTGACCTACTTTGGGCAAGTGCAGTTATAGGCGCTATTAACAATTTTATGACTAGGGCGTGAAAATGCGTTTCGCGTCCTTGATATAAAAGTTATTTACATAGATATGATTAATAAGCAGCGCGTGTCGATCAAATCTTTCGAAGTTTTTTTAGAGTAAAGGGACATTGTTTTTTATGGATAATGGACAATGTATAAACAGCCTTTAAAAAAACCCAAGGAAAAAACTGCATTTTCTCTTATATGCAGAGTGGAAAGGGAAATGTGACAATGTTATCTTAGGTGGATTTAAATATTTTAATTAAACGTTTTTTATTTAAAATCAATATGAAGTCTGTAAAAGCACAAACCTGGAAATAATTTGAATTGTGAACTAATAAAGTGTGCATTTGTAGGCCTTATTCGAAAATACCAAGGGTTTTATTTGAAATTCTACCCCCTCCCCAGTTCCTACTGCCACCATTGAAACAAACCGCTTTCAACACTCAGCGTGTAGTGTGAGCAAAAGTTTTAACTTATTAACATATGCTATGTTATATGCCTATGTGTTTGACTTTATATGTAAACAACACACTTTTAAAATCTGGGAGAACAAATATAATACAGATCATATTAGAACACTCAGTGTGTTATCTTATAATTTCCACTTTGATTGGCGTGCTTGGTCACTTAAATAACACAAAGATTAGGCTACAGTAAAATATATTATATATGGTTCAAAATGTATTGGTGAGATACATGTACAAACCTTATAAAAATGATAAAAACACAACTACGCTGCTATATTAGCAAATGTAAAGGTCGGTTCAAGGGCGGGTCCAGGATTATTAGAATGGGGGTCCGTTATTTAGGAATGACAGGCCGCGGATGCGACCCACCCCCTTTCCCTGGCGTGGGGCAGCGGGGGCAGCGAACGGTACCATTTGATACGGTTTAAAACTTTGCTTCAGCTAGTCAAAAATTTGAATTCAAGAGGGGAACATTGGAGCGCTTTTTTCAGAAATCGAAGGGGAGGGGTCAGGACCCCCCTGACACCCCAAAATTCGTCACTGAAAGGTGGGTTTAACTTTCACATTCTCGCTCCACTGATTGACGGAATGAGGCATTGGGGAGTTCAGGCTTCTTTTTCGTTTCTAATTAGTTTGTTTGAAAATTACCTGGAAATTAGGCCTAGGTGGCAGATGTACTTCCACGAGATAGGTAAGGATGAGCTTTTTAGAATACAAATTCAAATTCTTCTTATGATTCATTATTAGCATTATCATCTTTGACATTTTAAGCGTCTGTCACCAGTCTGGACTCGCTGGCTATTTAAATGATGATATGCAGCGAACGACACTTTAAACACTTTTATAAAAAAAAAAATCAGTCTTACGATACATTATAAAAATATTTGACCCTTATGCTACTCACAAGTAACTCCTTCCAGTCATTTTAAATGGGACATTTTAGAAGTCAGTGAAGCATGTTTTGTCGATCCATGTACATGCTATCTTCCGTTTAAATTTCTTAACCGATCACATTGTATCATTATAATTTTTCACTATTTGGTGACTATGAAAAAAAATGACTTTGACGTACAAGGTTCAACAATGAGAACAACATGTGTCACAATAAAATCAAGAACACCTTTATTATGTTAAATGTTGATTATATTCATGTTTATATTCATATTAGGGTAAAAAATGATAACTGAGACCCTGGTAGAGGGTAGTCAAGTTGATGGTGCTACGTAACCGACTGGTATATTTTCAAAAAGAGCACGGCGCAGTGAAATCGAAAAAACGGAATAAGAGGGTAAGCGAAGTGAGTGATCAGACCCCAGAGCTCTTCTCCATAAAATTCAAACATCTCTGCGTGAGTGAGGTGATACTTCAGGGCAAAGAACGTGTCCACTATCCACCATCCAAAATTTGTCATTATCAAACAAGAGACTGATTGTCTAAAAACACCCTTCGCTTTGATGTCGCTCCAATTGTACTGATAACGAAGACAGTGCAGAACCAGGAAAGCTTGGAGGAAGATCTGAATTATGTCAAAAAAGTTGCTTAGAATTGGCAAAACTCTGGACGCCATGGCGTTGGAAACAGTAAACTCGCTGGTCAGGGCAAAGAAATTAAAAGTCCATCCGCCGACCGCAGAAACGGTGACGAGGAATTGGTCTGAGATGCGACTGCTTTGTTCGTGGGCATAACTTTGGCGGAGCAGCACTATACCGAAGACAAGACACACGATCGTGTTGTATGCGAAAAAAGTTAATCTGCAACTTGTCATAATCACAGCATACGTTTCTGCCTCTGCTGTGTTCAAAGAACTAATTTCAGGATACATGGTTAGAACGACAAAATATATGGCAACGAATACTATAACAGCGACCACCGCAAAAACGTTATGAGAGAAAATCATATAAAACGTAAAAAATGCATCTTTTGCCCTGCGCGCACATGTATCACCATCCTGGTCATGATGGTCAACACTAGCCGCTTGCCGTTCATCATTGATGGACTGTTGCCCTGCGCTACCAATTGAACCGGAATCGTCACTAGAACGACCAGTGCTATGCAAGTCGCCCGCGGCCGGTCCACGGGCACCAGTAGTGTTGGCCTCACTGCTGTGCCATAGATCCAACAGCATTCTAGTGGCAAGAAGGGTGAATTCAAGTGTAAATGGAAACAACATGGGGCGAACGTTCGAATTCATGGCTTGGTTCATTGGCGTCGTATTGTTGAAACACTCCCTGGTTTCGTTCTGTAGTGAATAGTCAGTCAAATTAATATAGCGAAAGGGGTCGTAGGCAGAGTGGGCCATTATATTGCAGCTCGTAAGGAAAGTTTGACACCAAACGCCTAAATTGCCACTTAAAGTCACTATGATTCCTGCGGTTGCAACAAAGTCTTTCCTCATGCTAAACCCCGTTAGTAGAAATGTAAGCTGAATTGTGAAGAACAGTACCTTGGTCATCTCATACACGATAGTCCATTTCCTGAGATCTTGCTGTATTCGTGCCGCAGTAATGAAACTATAATCGCCAACACTCAGGTTCAGATAAACGTGCATACATACTGCTTGTTCCGCAACAGAAAGACTGGCTAAGATGAGGCTGCCTACTGCGAAGACAAATACACCAAAAGTCGACAAGTATTTGCCCAGAAAGTGTGCAATTCTCTGCTGTACGGTCCTGCCGGCACAATTCTGGTCTCCTAATTAGTAGATAAAAAGATTAAAACAACAAGCAAACAAACATATCAATCAATTAATTAATTAATTAATTAATATATTGATTGTTTTTATTTTATTTCATAGCAAACAAAATACAATCGTACAATTAATTTTTAGCCTATGAATCACACACACATAAGCTTCAACACGTGAACTCTCCCTCTCTCTTGGTATAAATACAGTATGTACAACTGCAGTAGTACATATACGGATAGAAATAGAAATTGACCTATTAATGTTTTTAACCTTACAGTTGAAATACGAAGACGCATATACTTAGAAGATTGCTCATCAATTAAATTGTAATTTACGATTATTGCCCATCTTTTTAGCTATGAAAGTTTTAATGCCTTAGCAAATTTTTTTATTTGTGGTACCTTTACCCTTCCATTTTCGTAATCACTATCGTTGCTCGTTTTATTTTGTCCCTTTTCCCATTCGAGATAAAGTTAAATATGATTGTCTCCATAGTGTAAATATATGTTCTGGGGAAGGGTGGTGGTGGCAGGGCAGTTACTTTATGCAATGAGTAACTGAATAACTGAATACTGAAGTTTTATCCTCTGTTACATTTCCTATTATTGAAAGATTTCTCAGGGACCATGGATTTTCTCAATCTTCTCGAAAAAGTTTATTCACCATGATTCAGTTTTTTTTCAATTGGTATTTTATACCAAGTAAGTTGCATACACCTTCACCTTTATTTCTTTTTCGGTTTTGATATTTACCTCCGCCAAGGAGGTCTTAATTTCACCCCTGTTTGTTTGTTTGTTTGTTTGTCTGTCATCACCCTGAGCTTCAGAGATAACTTGTCACTAACCTCTTCACTATAGCCTATCTTCACTTGACACGATGAAGATAGGCTATTGTGAAGAGGTTATAGTGACAAGTTATCTCTGAAGCTCAGGGTGTCTGTCATCAACATAACTCAAAAAGTTATGGACCGAGTTTGATGAAATTTTCAGGAACTGTCAGAAGTGGGCCAAGGAACAGATGATTAGTTTTTGGTGGTGATCCGGGCCAATAATGAATAATAATAATTATAATAAAATGTTGCCTTGGCGGAGGTCTGCGCTCTCGGAGTGCTTTTCTAGTTTTTTTAGTAAAATGCCCTCGTAGCTGCAACCCATTTACACATATACGTCCTTTTCCAATTTGGCTCTCAGACCTGGGGTATCAGAGAAAGTAGCGATTGGGTACAGGGCCCTGTTCAAGGGGATCAATTTATTAGTGTTTTAAAATTATCTCACCTGGAACCGCCCTCTCCTCCCCGTTATCTATGATTTCAGGAAGGGCGTCTTGGTATTCATCCTCGCTGTCTTCTTGTCCAGCTAATTCCTTGCGACGAGTCTGTTCGTCTCTAAACTCTGCCGGAAAACACCCCATCTGAACGGAACAGGATTTGCACTTTCTTATCATCATGTCAATAGCCAGAAGCAGTATTGAAAGTGACATTAGAGCCGTCAACATAATTTGGGAGTTTTTACTGTTATAACGTCTTTCCTTTTCACCGAGCCACTCCGCAAAATCGAAAGTGACGGAAAAGGTGGAGATAAGAAGAAAAAGCAGTACCGTTACACTGGACATAGCCTTTAGCAGATTTGCCTACAAAATTACCGACCGTCTATAGATGAGCCAACGGTATTATTTTCACAGTCCTCTGCTCGTAAGTTGAAAAGCAGTGTCACAACGTTACTGTGTAACTTGATATGTTTTATCAGTCACTAAAAACATTGTTCCCGGTACTTCAATCGACACAGATAAAGGTATGCCGGAGTAGTGTCCCATATCTTGTCTGGTATTACTGTGTAAATATTAACAATTGGCAATTATAAGTTCCACCAATCATTTATCACACGGACTTCTATCGGCAGCTGTTTACCAGATAAGAAACATACGCTGAACTAACTCATTCCTGGAACAGAATAATACTGACAAACGTAGTCCACGTACATTATCTAACCTACTCTCTACCATGGCCGCAGTTATTATTGTGAACATTTTTTGCTGTCTTTTTATCTATAGACATATCTGTGAATATCTGTGGAAAATCAATCTGTCTCCCTGGTAGAGGGTATATCTAATCTATGTTCACGTATCTAATTTAAACAAACAGACAAAAGTTTAGCATATCGACATTTTAGGCTCGTATGTGTTTGTATCTAAAATCTGCGAGACCGTGAAATGTATGCCATGCCATCAACTTTACATACAGGTAGTATATAGTGCCATAATATTTAAATGAGAAATACAGTATTATCAGCTTTAAGGGTGCTGTTTATGTACATATTAATGCTGGTGCTGAAACGCTGATAACGGAAATAAATTATAAAAATGGCGGCATTACAAGAAACGACTTTATAAAACTTATCATTACTACATGTATTACATAAATAATAGTTTTAACTAGTTTTAACTTAAAAGCCTGCCATTTCACGAGAAACTCCACCCAATAGCGGCAAGGTGGGGGTCAAAAGATTTTAATGTAAATTTGTGTGAAGATGTGTCCTAAGAAGTTATGAGCTTCTGTGAAGTAAAATGGAAAAATACCCATTCTTGGCAAAAATATGAGGTGAACTATATTTACAATGGTTTTGCCTCAAGATGGCCAGTTTCACTCTCCTTAAATTGTGGTGCATATACGTGAGAATAATTTTAAAAGGAATAAAATATTTGATATCATGTAAATATTTGGTTAGAACAAACATCCAACATCACAACCAAGTTGTTTTTAAAGGATTTTATCACCCCCTGTAAATTGATACCCGTTTTTCTCACCCTCCCGCCAAACCACTTTTAGATCCAACCCTCAAGATCACCTAATGCAGTGGGGAGTAGACTCATGAAACTTGCCATGATTATCAATAAAGAATAGTTCTAATAATATGAAAAATAAAAATCACTGCACCTTTTTTGGGTTGGGAGATATATGCCCTAGAAAATATAGATTTTTGACCTACTTTTTGTCATTCCTCACAGCATCTGCAGGTGGAATGCACTTTGTCCAGTGGAATCTCTCACTAAAGCAACGGGGTGTTACCCCAAACAAATGTAACAAATGTTTTTAAAAGAAATTTCATCATATATTTATTTAAGTAATTTGAAGGCTTTTATACCTGGACTTAGTGATCTTTAAGCTGGCGTCACACAAGGAAATGTGTGAGAAATTGGATACCTCACAAAATGTTGTAAAAATGTAAAAAGATGGGCTAGCCAGTGCTATGGGCATATTCTCAACGAAGCTTTCATTCTACCTTGATCAATCCAACCCCACGAGTACTCATGCTGAATGCAATCAGGTTAACAGATTATCACGTCTCTTCTTGTTTCCTATGCATTCTTAGGCTCTATTCCCATAGATTTTAGATCGATCTATCCCCGCGGGGAGTCTCACTAGATTACTTTAAGATAATCCGACTTAAATGTCCGTCCCGCCTACTACAAGCTTTAAGGGGGTAATTAACTTTCGTGTCCGCCCGGCTGACAGCTATTTAGCGTGAACCCCCAGGGAGTTAGGTCGATCTAAAGTAGGTCGATCTAATCTATGGAAATGGGGTGTTACAATCACAATATTTTCTGTATTCTACTCAATGCAAGTACTCTAGGTGGGTGTTTATCTGATAGCAATCAGCCAGAGTACCCCTGGAGTTGGATCAATCTACCTAGAACAATAGTTTCATTGTGAATATGAATCATAGAAAGTTTTAAAAAGATTTTTAGCCATAGACATTGACAAGTTGTGCTATGAATGTGCTCTCAACTACCACAATTTATAAGTCCTTGGCGGAAGTCTGCGCCCTTTGAGTGCTTTCCTAGTTTCATATCGTTTCAACTCAGCAAAAGAAAAAAAAAAAAGTAAAATACAATTTTAAATAATATCACCTTATATTTGACTAATATACTCATTAATTTCTTCGGGGTAAGAGTCTGTAGCTGCCACCACGACATAACCCTTTTTAGAGTTTTCTGATGAAAGTTTTTTAGAGTTGTCTTGGTGACTTGGAGACCCGGGTGAATATAGTCCCTGTCGTGTTTGCAACAGTCTACTGGATTGTGTGGCGATGTCTTTTTCAGTTTTAAAATGCTGTGATTCGCTTTTGCTAGTACCTTCAGGAGATAAAAGGTGTGAAGAATCTTTTTTACGGCTTCCAATGAGGTTTTTGCTTGAATCTTGACTAGGGCGGTACGTGGTTACTTTGAGTCCTTGGGATTGTAACGAATTGTCTCGTGCTGTCTCGGAATTTACGGACTGCCCTCTGGCGGTGGTGCTGGACCTGCCGGAAAGATTTGACATCTGAGTCAGAACGCTGTGGCGTGATTCGCGACTCAGACGTCGTAGAGTTCTCCAGAACTGGGAGTCCCGAACCGATGCCTGGACTTCGCTGTTACAGAAGCAGAATATCACAGCTACGAGAAAGCCCTGAAATATAAGATGGAAAAGTTAGGGGAAATAAAAAAATAGAAAAGTGGGCATTTAATGTCCATCTAGTTTATTTGTTAAACTACAATCGCCCAGAGGGGTCTGAAACTAAATTTTCTAAAATTTGTCAGGTTTCTCGATCAAAATTAAAAAAATGGAAGTTAGTCCGATACCAGATTAGTAACTAAATAAATTGGGTTCAATAAAAAATAAATAAATAAATAAATAAATGAAAAAAAGTTACATACACGGTTTCATTTTGTATCCAGGTCTGCAATATACATGTATTAGTGAACATGAACACAAAGTGAATGCTTAATTGGTAGTATTACAAAACGGTCACTTTACAGGCTAAGTACACCTTTTTAAAGAATACATTACTCAAAGAAAAAGGCCACCGTTTGCATTTTTTGCACATCTTAAAGATCTCCATTTCCTAACGTCGCCAATTTGCTTTAAAACGCCACAATTTTCCCTTTAAAAACACACCACACAAACCAACCTGCGAGTTTCGGACAGTGGTGGCGAATACGTTATATTCCGCTTCCCCACGAGTTCCTTTCGGTAATCTGGCGATCTGTATGATCCACTGTAGGCCAAACAGTAGGAACAGTATCACTACTGCTCTGCATATACGCCTGGAAGTACAGTGTATACATGAGCGTGGGGACTGATGTGACCTCTTCTACACAGGAACAGGTGTGACAGGAATGGTAGTCCGCAAGGAGCCGTAGTCCGCTCCCTATTACTATGTGCAGGTGGCATTCGTCCCATATACATGTAGTAACCCCAATAAATACAATGTTAGACCCCAAACTTCAATTCCTAGGACTACCATGTCTGTCACATCGGTTTCACAAAAAAGCTTAAGCCGGAGAATTTGTCTTACATTTTCGATAAAAAAATGTCTACTAAACTGCAGGCCAATCGAGCAAGTACATGTATTAGACTGAACCAACAGTTTTACTGTGAAATCGTTTATATTACTTTTATAAGTCAGTCTACAGTTTCCAGCCAAAATTATAAAAAAATGTAATGCAAGAATGTAATATAATAATCTAAAAAAATAATTTCTTAGAGTTAAGTGCTTATTTACACTTTTCATTTTGTTAGGGAATTAAAACAGGGGCGAAGTCTAAGAAAAGTTTGGTACACAGCCTCTTATAGGGTCTTTTGATTTCTCTCTTAAGCGCTCTTCATACAGTAAATCCATTTTAAATCTATTTTCAACCTCTTATGACGACAATTGCAATTTCCACAAAGTTTTACCAAATATTGGGGTTATAAAATAGTTCCAGCTTTAGTCTAGCCCATTTCTGCAAGGGATTGGGGGTCGTAATTTAGAAATAGATAAAAAGCGTACCGAGAGCAGAGGAAAAAAACTTTATACATCAAGACGTTCATTTGTTTGTTTTATTTGCAGTCTTTAGGCTGTGCATCCCGAGACGGATGGGTGGATAGGAGGATGGAGTTAAAAAGGGGAATGGCGGTTTTAAATACGCAGTGCACAAAACACACACGCTGAGGCTAGAGGTATTGACAATTGTCGACGGGTAACATAAATATATGATTATCATTCTATACAAGCATAGCCAATTTCTTAGGATATAGTCATAATAACATATTTGTGCTTAATCATTTTTGCACAGCAAATATGGACAATGTACTAGTGTAATCAAGACGTGTGTAAAACGCCTAGGCTATACGTCGACAAACCATCAAAGGAACCCATGTCTAAAACACTGACCGTATCCCAAAAACAATGTATACATCAACTGTACAACTTATCACATTGCCATAAAATGAAGCAACAACAGTGATACCCACATTCCTTGAAAAAAGGTCTTACCCAGTTGAGAAAGCCAAACAGAGAGTAAGAAAAGATGAATAGAAACAATTAGCCACTAAGAACAATAGCATATGAGGTCAATATAACCGAAAGGCAGTAAAAAGCATGACATACATGTAGAAAATATATACAGCCATGTTAATTTATAACATTTTTATTTCTATTGACCTGGTGCAAAGAAAGTACACCCGCACAAATATTCTTCGTTTAACATTGACCCAGAAAGCACAACTTGGGACGACAAAACCTCGACACCTTGCTACCACGTGACATATCACGTGAAAATGGGATTCTATCATCTTACTTTGATCTTGCTGATTCTTCTTGTGGATGTTCACGCAGTCGCTTTATTGACCTCGCTATACTGACTAGGAAATATATGTTTGCCTAGAAATACAAGATAATTTTTATAAACAGCAAAATTAGAAATTAAATGAGATACATGTAATTATGATGTCCTCGTGAGTTCACTTACGTTTATACGCGTTTAATGAATAATTCTATTTTTTTTGGTTCTTTTGCAATTGAAAGTTCTAATAATAAAGTCAGGAACTGACCTTTGTCTCTTAGCTTTTTATAAATAGATATCTGTTCACTCATTCATTATTAAAATGCACACATGAACCTGAATGTGTGTGTGTGCGTGTGTGCACGCGCGCACACGTGTGTATGTGAGTGTGTATTTGTGTGTGTGTTTTACCCTTTAGGCAAACGTGGATCTGACACCAAGCGTAAAAGCTATAAAGCTTATTCCCCTCAGCTAAAACTTTGATAAATTACCACTATGCAGAATAAGTTTGGGGCATCGGTAATCCAGTTTGTCATGCCATAGCTTAGAGCCCAGCACCTAGTGAAACACAAACAGAGAAAAAGACTGAACAAAAGAGTCGATTAAAATTTTTTTAAAACAGACAAAAAAAAACAGACAGAGAGCGATAAGTAGATCATATGTAGATCAGTTTTATGTAGTATTGGCGACGTTCACCTCTTCAACTAAAGCGCATAAACAAATTGATTAGAATAATAATAGAAAATATAAAAAGGGAGAAAAATTGGCCAGTCTATGTAGATAATTCCTCGTTTCTTTACTGGGGCCGGTAGATCTACTTACTGTTCATTGTTCATGAGGATACGCACTATGGAGTAGGCAAGGGTCGGTAGCACAGGAACAACTGGAAGATACAATAAATTCTGCCACTTACCAAAGTTACTGCGTACATATTGGACATTAGAATGCATTATTCTCCTGTATGGCAACGGAATACTAGAGCCAGCAGTCGAAAGCAGACCATTAGATTTACGAAGCCCAGATATTCTTACATATACTGTATGTTGCCATCGTACTGAAACACGCTTTTAACCATATGGCTGATTATACATGTGTGTGTGTGTGTGTGTGTGTGTGTGTGTGCCAGTGTGTGTGTCAACGTAACGCGTCAAAGTGGGGATTAACTCGTTCTCCATTTATTCTTTTGATAATCACGATTACCATTTCACGAACGCTCAAAGCTTTGACAAAGCTATAAGTACCGTATAACGTCATTCCTTGCCACAATGCCAGTTCACGAGAGCAGAAAAAGGGATCTTACCCCAGCCTCCTATGTAAAGCCACTGCACGTTGATATGCGGCGACAGGGCGTGTGATATCAGCGTGTGGAGGTAGTAGCCTTCACAGAACATCCAGGCAAAAGTGGTGCTGGAGAAGTAGAGTTGTGCGGCCCAAAGAATGCGACAGCCGACCTAAAATATAAACAGATATTTGATACGTGACAGTGAACTGACAAAATCATTGTATACGTCTCTCTCTCTCTCTCTCTCAGTGTGTGTGTGTGTGTGTGTGTGTGTGTATGTGTTGAGAAGTTTAGAGTTCTGGTAGGGTATTTGACACCTGTCCTTCCTCTCAAACTCATATAATATCAAATAAAACTCAGTTGTCATTGCATCGCGATTCTCATTTTCGTTCACGTATACGTTTGGCTTTCTAACACAGACCTCAAAATTTCAATTTTCAAAATCAAATATATCTAAACATATTCAATTATGTATGAAAATAACAATTCTATACTACATTATCAAAAAGAACACCTACCGAATTTTCCTCCATTCGAGTATTAGAGTTATTCTCCTTGCTCAGGTAATCGTGGGTAAGGAGCATCTGTACCAATATGTTCACGGTGCTACACAGCAGGAGTGCCACGAAGAAGTTGGTGTGGACCCGAATGCGCTCCTCCTTCCGCAGTCTTCTGAAACGATGCCAGTCCGTACCAAGGTACCCATATTATAACGGCGGCTCTAAAGGCATGCAGTAGCAAGCATTATATACAACATCAATATGTACAGAATACCTACTGAAATGTGGTACATGCGTTGATTTAATTATATAAAAGCATTTTACATTTATAGATTTGAACATTGAATGCACATGCTTATAAGCAAACAGAGTCTATGTAGCACACCGCCAACTCAAAGCAAAAATGTTGCTTTCAGCGTAAAAAAAGACTCGCTGTACAGGTTATTTTACAGCAACTTTTGTCACAACAAACACGACGTTGAATTCACTGACATATGAGACTCCTGTGACGACCCGATATGTCCGACAGGCCAGATATGTCCGACGAAAAAAAAAAGACAGATGTGTCCGACAGACCAAATACGTCCGCCAAAAAAGAGCCAGATGTGTCCGACAGACCAAATACGTCCGACAAAAAAGAGCCAGATGTGTCCGACAGGCCACATATATCCTACGACGAGAGAAGGCCAGATATGTTGTCCAGGGGCGGATTGAGGCAGTCTTCTGGGTCTTTCGGAAGACGGTCAGATTTTCAAGTTTACATTGACATGTATCCATTTTTTTAGGTCGGAAGACGGTCAGAAATGGAAGATGGTTAAACAAAGATAGTTTGGAAGAGTGTCAGATTATATATCTAGATCCGCCCCTGTTGTCGGACATATCTGGCCTATCAGACATATCGGGTCGTCACAGAGTCTTTCCAGAAAAAGCCATTGTCATTCACACAATTCTAAATGTCGTAAGCCTTACATCTAACAAAATGGCATCAAACCACATAATGGCACACACTTAACATTTAGTATCAACTTAATCAATTACTGTCACAATAACAGCTTCTAACACACAGCAAACGGTGTAATCATGGTGCTAAATAAATAAATAAATAAATAAATATCGTACCTATCCCTCTAGGGCCATTCATTACTGTCACATTCATCACAACTAAAGCAGTATATACAAGAATTGCACCTCCCATCTTTTACAACACAATAACTCATGTTCCAACTGTCGCAACCCAGTTATCCACGGTTATCTGTCTCTAGCACTCCTAGTCAAGTTTTCAGGGCGCTACGGTCAGAGCGGGGTTGCTAAAGACGAAAACTTCGCACTACTGGAATCTTGCTACCGATGGCGAGATTGAGATCAGCCTGATTAACTATAAAGTATTGTGAGGATGATCTCAATCGATGTCAAAACTCCTTAGCTTTTAAACAATGTGTGACTCGTGAGGGCGTGAAATATGTAGAAAAAACTAACTTCACTCGACGCCAAACCGAATCGCCAATTTAAATAATTTTCACCCAAACTCGACCTGTATTTTTCAGAATCAGCACCGCAGTAAATATACTCGACAAACAAATAGGGAAATATACATAAATAAAACGATAAACTAGACAGACATTTTAGATAATACACGCAGGAGTGCTAGAGACAGACCACTCGCACACTATAAACTGCTACGTATACTTACGGGACGGACATAAATATCATCACAGCTGGCAACAACAGTATAATACTGAGGGCGTTACATCCTACCGATATGTACACATTGATCAGGTAAACCTGCAAGTAGACAAAGATTTATTATTACTTAGGCGTATTTACAGTAGGGTTGTAACGGCTTATCTTAGTGTCATACTACATCATTCATTAGATGGTGTAATATAGATTTTTGACGATATGATGGCTTTCTTGCCAGAAACTTACTGTTCTCTTGTCACTACCGCAACTAGACTTCGTTTGTATTTTAAATAATGCAATATTTTTGTGAATGAAATATTCTGATTAAAAGTAAAATACGATTTTTGAAATATTATATTAACTTTCCTTTCAAATATATGGTTCTTAATTTATAAATGGTGTGCGGTCTCCATCCACAACGAGAAACAAACTTAGTTGATAATGAACACTTCTAACAGATCATCTCCCAGTTAGTAGATGGCACCCAGTATACCGTAAAAGATGGCGGACTTGTTGGAATTTCTTAAAACGACCAGGGGCACGTTTGTTGCCTATCAGGTACATATCACTGGAAGGGTTGTATAGATGTGAAAACCGACTGCCAATTTTATGTTAGGCGCTTTAACATGCATTTGAATGAGATTTCTTCTTTTTCTTCTGTATTATTATTATTATTATTATTATTATTATTATTATTATTATTATATCACACTGCAGTCTGGATGATCGAAAATCGTTGTCACACAATTTGTTGAAATAAAATATTACGAAGCTCACGATGGTGCGTAAGTGTGTATAACCAAACCGTCAGTTCTAATAAATTAAAAGAAATTCCACTGAGAATGAGATTTCCGATCTGCTTGATGATTTTTGGGGTTTCTACCTTCATCGTCGTGGTCCGAAATAGTATGAAGAAAACATGTAACTGAAATTGCCTCATGGTTATCATAGAGTTTACCAAAATCTAATTTTTCAAGTCTTCCTTAATACAGTTAAGAATTTGAACATACACGATTTAGCCATTTGCTTTAATAGAGCTACCTATTAGCGTAATTGCAAAGAAAAATGAGTTTCTTGCTTCATTTGCTCATCGAGTCTTTCGCTGACTAAGTGCAACTCGTGCTATAATGGCATTAAATAAATATTTCTTATGAGAATGTTGTTCTCTTATTCTTTTTTATTCTTTTCGCTTTCCAGATCATTGCCTATAGCTGTCGGCTGATTGCAATTATAGCATATTGTACATGTACACCAAGTATGCGAGTATTTTGTTTGATATCAATATAGCATCTTTATAACACTTAAGTCAGCTTATTACTGAATACAGTTTCTCTTATTCTTATTCTCACAGTGGGTTTTTTATTTGAAATTCATTAATTGACTTCAGATAAATAACAGCAGCTGTGATGGCCGAGTGGTTAAGGCGTTGGACTTGAAATCCAATGGGATCTTCCCGCGCAGGTTCGAACCCTGCTCGCAGCGCACCCTTTTCTTTGCAATGGCCACAATAAAACATTGAGAACAAGGCGTGTACCGTGCATCACGACCCCTCTCGATACACGGTGTTACTCCCAAATCAAACTCTACCTCACCTTCTTGTCCGTGCAATCCCGATAATCTGTCCACTCATAGGAGATGTTCCACTCCTTGTTCTCCTTGCGGAACCACGTGCCACTGTGCGTGCATTCCCGCACTGCACGACCTGGGGACAAACCATTCAATATGAAAAATATAATTAAAATCTTTTCATCTCTTGATAACCAACATGAATATATCTGTTATTGTTGCAAATTGTCAGAGATACCCCCCTTACACAAAGGATAGAAAAAATATATTTTAAGTCAAAAAAATACGCTACATCGTATATAGACATAATCCCCTATGCTAATGACAAATACAGAAAATGTATGGATTTGGCGTAAGTCAATAGCTTACATTCTCTAAAAGGAATGTCGCTGATCATGATATACATGCATGTAAACAAACTAATTCCTTATTATGATTAATTGATAAACGTCTCCATTTAACAAGCCTCCAAGATCCTACGAAATGATTCTAAAGAACCAATTTTCCTTCGAATAATCTGAGACAAACAACTTACGGGTACATACTATAAGCAATGAAATCCGGCTCGAAGGTAGGACAGAAGATCTCGGCACGGCTTCCCGCCTCCACCTCATTCCAGCAGCCATAGCCATCCCAGGTTGCTGGGCAACGGTTTTTCGCGTGCGTTTGGTGCCGTTTTCCTTGCTCGTCACAGCACGCGATTGCTTGCTTCGTACACCTGCGCCATCTATCGCAAAGTTCGTCTACGTTTCCAAATCTTGGGAAATGGTGTATGTGCAGTTTTCCACAAAGGTCTGTCCAAAAGTTGTCGTCAGAAAGATCTGTTGATTCGACGGTGTGGTTTAGTCCAATGCCCACATTCACAGTGTCAATGTAATTGTCTTGAATTCTAAGCTGATTGATGTAAAGCAGGCACCAGTAGAAAGCATGTTGGTGAAATTCGGTGCTGTTAAAGTAACCGAACCTTTGTTCTCTGCAAACGTATGCCTCAGATCTTTGTGTGGCAAGCAGCTGCAAGATAAAATTGTAATGTGATAGTTAAGTTCTAAAAGCGTGCGGTACAATTATTGAAGCTCAACGCACATAGACATCACCAAAAAGATAAGAAATAGTGAAATAATAATAATAATAATATATTTATTTCGAGTCTAAAATCCATAAAATGTTCAATAGACTGTACAACATAAAATACAAAGAAGTTTATAGATAAAAATGGTTAAGATATATATTATATAAATCACAGCTATACTAAATTGTATTAAACAGTAATTAAAAGTAAAAAATCCAAGGTTTCTTTAATGTAAAATTTATGTAAAATGTAAAAGAAATTAAATTGTACATCTTTGGCTTTGTTCTATTATGCACATCATTTTAATATTTACAGATTGTTTTGTACTTTAGATTTGTCATATAAATACTACTTGTATTTCGAATAAAAAAGGCATTTTTCCAGTGCAGATTTGAACCGCCAGATGCAGTTTTCGTTGCAAGTTTTTCTATTGATAATAACGTAGCCTCTATTCATTTTATCTTTTTCTTTCTTTCTTTCTTTCTTTCTTTCTCATCATTATTCCTTTTTTGACAAAAAAACTTGTAATCTACTCTGGAATTGATGAGCATATTGTTCTGACGTAATCACCACATCAAGTGCCCTACGCATTACAGGTTTATGGCAAAAGACACTCGAGATTTTAAGCACTGGTGTTGTAAAGTGGTAAAATATTTACTTAATTGAGTGGATATCCGTGGGCACGAACTTACAGCTATCCTGGTAACCGAAGGCTTATGGAATTATGTTTATTTTATCTTCAGCATTCACAGATGAAATGTGAGGCGTTCTTGCGTGGGGTATTATCCAACGCGTTTTGTTTTCGAACGACGTATGAAGGAAAATGCACTTTTCAAAAGTTTGATTTGGTTAATGTTCATACATTATTTTTGTCTAAATGTGTGCAAAAACATAGGATCCGAAGCTGCACGTACCATTATATTTGTCACAAGGACCCACAATGCAAGAGGCAGAATTGGTCTCTCTGCAACATCAGCTTCGATTTTCTCTTTAAACCATTTGAGTCAACAATAGACGTTTCCTAAAACCCTTACTCTCATAATTGCTTTTTCACTGCTTGAGAGGTTATTGGAATCAAATCACTGGAACGCCAGAGGCAGTGTGACCCCCCCCCCTCAAGAATGACAAGTCTCTCATGGTCTCTGGAACACACATGCATGCAACACAGGGTGACAGCCATCGACCTGTCTGCTGGTAATTTTCACAGAAATGTCATACGATATCCCGCTGCTCGTTCGTGAATACACAGAAAAGGACAAAACAAATGTTTACTCAACTAATGTAAAACCTTTCCAGATATCTGCTCTTCAGTTTACCTTGAAAAGCTTGGAAACTCCAGGGTTTCCTCGGGGTTATGTGTCTGGTTTCTGTTTTGTTTGTGCTTAATGGAGGCATGTTAAGGTGATTTCTATGAAACGCCTTAGTTTTTTACCTTTACTGTGACCTTAAATAAAGTGTATTGTAGATATCATTTCGGTAGCTTGCATCACCTTCGATTAATTTTTATGCCATGGTGGGATCTCGCAGATTTACAGCTATGACCAGATCGACTACATTTGGTAATAGAAATAAAAATCCGAGAAACGCATGTTTTTTGGTTTTGTATGTATCCCAGAGAGACGAGATTGATTGAAGAATAAACAGATACAAATCCCAGATGGTAGAAAACAAGCACTAATACTTGTACCTTTTCCTTTCCGTATGTATTAAGCATAAATATTATGAAGTGAACTGAATACCAGTCATCCGTATGGTTGCCCTCGTCGCAGGCCAATATGTTTACGTAATATCTAAGAGATTCTGAAAACAGCTGTAATATACATTTGTAGGTCATTTGAAGGGCATTGTCGTCAATATAACCAAAATTCGCATTAATCTAACAGCTGTCTTTTATTGCGACATCTTAGAAATAATAAAAACAATTGTAGCTAGGCCTATTCTCGTTTACACACAGAATCTACTATACTGATACTCAAACCGTGTTCCCACTGTTAAAACAAATATCCATCTACCTCACTCATTGAGGAAAAGAAACGTTCACTAACTAAGGTCTGTACAAAGACCAGACACCCGTGAGATGTTCAGAAGATTTATTAGCTTATGATATCGAGAACGCTGCGCCTTATACACAGGAGTCTTAATTAGCTACTACCTTAGTCGTGGTGGCAAGAACAAATATTTAAACATTTTGACAGGCTCTCGAAGTGCACGTGCACCCCTCGCGTTGAGAATTATATCGGTTATATGTATTCTGGATCGTATTAACACGTATATGGATGGGTGCCTAAACATGGAGAGAATATCGTCTCTCCGATTGTTTTCATAATAAGTAGTGCAAATAAAATGTGTATGCGCTCCAGATTATAAGAAATACAAAGATATAAAAGTTCATGAAATTTGGCAAGTAATGTCAAAAGTACTGTTATTTTGCGAAATCTGATACGTAATAACAAATAAACAATTATCGAAGTAACATCTTAATTTTTATAAGATAAAGACACTGCCATACAGGGGCATAAGTAAATATAATAATATTCAAATATTTTAATTCTAAATGATATACATGTATATGTAGAGATGTTTTGTGTGTATTGAAGCAACTCAGATTTGTTGCCTGCTATGTTTTACTTGTTATCTATTTTTGTTTTTTTTTAACATTGTGACACTTAAACAGATTGTTTTATCATTTCGTGGCAATTGTTCCGAAACATGTTCAATCTTTCGGGGTTACTTCTTAACGCTTCTTTTTTTGTCTTTTTTTTCTGCGCCAGGACCAATATTCTTGAAAGTTTCATTGGTAAAACATACCGTGGTTGAAGGCTCAGATGGAGGCCACATATATCACATTCTTGGGCACTTTTAGTTATGATGACAAGATCCATTGAAATACTGTACACCGGATAACGGGAAACTGATTCTAGGACGATTTTCCCCTGACGGGTCTCTCTCCCCTCCCCCCCCCCCAATCCCAGGCCACTAATTACACTGCTTTTGAATTATCTACTTGAGGCATTTGTACATTTTAAAAATATTTTACTTAATATAAGAAAAAGACAGAAAAAGAAATAAAAACAAAAGAATTGGCTGTAACTATTATAACTCACTAGGAGCTCACTTACGCGCTTCATCAGACCTGAGAGGTAACCTTAAATTATTTGATGCTATAGATGCAAATATTGCAAATTTGTCTTTACATGTCATTTTTTAATTACACAAATAATAACGTTTTATCATTTTTTCGAAAAGCAGACACATGTCATTTATCTGTATTTCATTTGATGTCAGTGAGTTTTCTGAATAGCAGGCTAAGTAAATAATAACAATAATGAAAAAGAAAACAAGTTTCGAAAGTCGCTGTTTTTATGTCAAGGGGTAATGGTGAAACAATTTAAACTGACAGTTAATTTATCAAATGGATACCTGGACGAGGAAGATTATTTGTTTCCCCCACATTTACCTGGGGATGCACCTTAATTATAGAAGGGAATGCGATTAAGTGTGTAAAACAATAAAAAAAGTGTCAGTTCATCAAAAAGATTCCTGGATCAGTGAGATTATTTGTTTACCAAACAATTATCTGGTGATCCACCTTGATTAAAGGCAGGGAATGTAATTATCGGAGGGGTGGGGGATAAAAAAGCGTCAGTTTTTTCATCAAAAGGGATACCTGGATGATTGAAGTTATTTATTTACCCCACCTCTACCTGGGGACGCATTTTGATTAAAGGCAGGTATAATTTTTCTCAATTTCACATTGTTCATTCTCAGTATTATATTTCTTACTGGGGGGGGGGGGGGGATCGGGGGGGTCCAGAGGGGAACCGTCCACTACGTGTACCTTCTAAAAGGGTCTGTAGATTGTTACAAAATTGAATAGACAATTTTGCCACAAACTACCGGTGCAGACACCCCTGTCGGATAGTAACTTGGATCAATGATCATAGTGCGTGTTAAGAGACTACGAAAGGTATCATTGTAGCTTATCTGTTGTTGGAACATCGCCAGATGTACATTTGTAGCACATTTTCTTATCATCGGGTTTTTTTTACACATAATAACGCCATACGTTCTAGCTTTGAAGGGGTACCGTATCATTCTATGTGGTAGTGACCAATAACATTTGGAAGCAAAATAATTGTGTGTATTCCAAAGATATTCTTTATTTCCCAACCATCAAATAAACACCAACTTACATAAATGATCCACAGCTGAAGATTCTTCTCTAAAACGACTAAACTGACTCGTATTGAAACAATATTTTGATAACAAAATTGTTATGCGATTACATTATTCCCAGACATTTGCCAGACGAGACAATCTTGATTGTCTCAGGTTTCTAAGATTTCATTGAGCTGCGATTGTTTCGTAAATGATAACAATGCAACAACGCATTGCTTCCAAACACGACTAAAGGCATGAAACTGTTTAAACTGAATACTTAAAGGAAAACTGGCGATGAATTTTTCAACTACGTGTACATGTACAAAACAAAACTTTAAAAAGGCTCAATGTAGGGCTTTGCGCCACGTTGCCGTCTGGTGATGTCAAATAATGCGGTCTAGTCTAAATATTTTGATTCAAATTAGCCCTGTGTGTGGACAGACCCAAAGATTAAAGGGACCCCCTCCCCCCCCCCCCAAAAAAAAAAAAAATCCCGTTTTAAGATAAAGTTAACGCAATTCTGTGTGCGGACAGACCCAAAGATATAAGCCCCCCCCCCTCAAAAAAAAAAAAAAAATGACATGCAATAAAGATTGAAGTATAAGGTTATCTACTGGTACGCAGGCTGCAATTGCTCCCACCAGGTTACACGTGTAGGAGGCAGAGATCGACATAAATGTTCATTTTGATGAACGTACTCTCTGATTTAAATTTATTTATCTTAGTATATTTCATTATTATCCTTTAAATACAGTTTGAATTTCGATCATTTAGAAGTACAATACAATTGCTTTATTTATCTTATTATATTTAATTATTATGCTTGCAAATACAGTCTGAATTTATGTCAAGCATTTAGAAGTACGACCCTCCTCCACTGGCATATCCAATATTATGAGGGAGGTGGGGTTTAAGGGGGCGTAAGGGGGTGTAGGGGGGGTTTGACCCGCCAGTACTTCTTACACACGCAATTTTATATAAATGTTTTACTTACCTGAACAGTGAGAATTAAAATCAAGGAGGTAGCATCCGTGTGTTGAAAAAGGCCCATCACGAACGTGGCACAGCGACAGAGCCTGATCAATAAATCTCTTTAAACTTGTTTTGGTAAATTTGACATCCTGATCCGAGCTGTTGGAACAAGACGCTAGTCCGGCTTCTGAGGCATTCTAAGTCATCTCATTCTTTTGGCGATTAACACTCGGGGACACACTTAGTCAGCGACTTTAGTCGTTCGGCTATCCCTGAAATCAAATCAAATGTTGGATTAATGCGCAATAACGTGCCTCGTCAATTTTTTAACCCAGATTTACTTGAGGTTCGACTTTCTCTAGACAACTATAAGGTGAACTCCGCAAGGCGACACTATCACAATTTATACATATATTATGTGCTGTAAATTTTAGATTAATTTTTCTAGATTCATGTGCAATTTGCTCTTACATGTACCAGCGCGGATCTGAATTATACGATATTGACATAAAATTCAATTAAGGGGTTCATGGAATGAATTGCGATGATTTTATATTTAAACGGGATTTTGATCTCCAACTTTTACGTCTCACTGGTGTTATCCAACCTAACCCGGAGATGCCATGTTTATCGGGTTTATCTTTGATTAAAGAGGACGAAATAGAAAGTACTTTGTTGACTTTCGAATGACACTTCAGCTTTGTTTAGTTTTGCCCCTTGTTATCCCGTACAGAATTGAAGTATCAGTCGAGAGTTAACAAAGGTTAACCAATTCTTTCATCCTGCGCTCGCATAAGTCTAAACTTCATGAACTTCAACAACGGATGTAGAAAAACACGTTATGAAAGCTGTGTCGTTCACTCAATCCGTAAACACTGGAGATGTCCTACTGGTACAGTAGCTGTGAAACCCAAGAACCTAGCTCTGAATCCCGAGAACCTAGCAATGTATACGGAGAACCTAGCTCTTAATCCGGTGAACCTACATAGTTGCTCTTAATCCGGTGAGCTAAACTCTGAATCAGAAAAACCTAGCTCTGAATCCGGTGAACCTACATATACCTTTAGCTCTTTATCAGGAGAACCTAACTCTTTATCCGGAGAACCTAACTCTGGATCCAAAGAACCTAACTCTGAATCCAGTGAACCTTACTCTAAATCCGTAGAACCTAACTCTAAAGAACAGCATTACATCTTAAACTAGACCTCTTCCTAGGTGTCTAAGGTTTATCTCTCTCATTAATTGTAACTCTGTACAACCACAGTCAGCTAAAAACTTATATTTACCCAAGGTCTTGTGGAGTTTCTCTCTAGACTGGCTTTTTCCCCTTTCAGTGTCTTTCGTGAAATATTCACGCGATACCACGCTGTATAAAAGCTGCCGTTGGACTGTTTGTGAGAACTTCAGCTGAAATCTCACCCTGTCAACGTGTAAGCTCAGTCTAAACGAATATCTGTAGTGAACTATAAACGATCGGCAGTCGCGTTTACATAGCTTTCATATCACAAGATAAGATATGCGAGCGCCGTGTCAATGAAATCAATAAGAATCCTTAGAACTGGCCTGCACGGTCGAATAGAGGCCCCAACCATGGGTAATCTTGATATAATATTTCTTTTCCAATAGGTTACGGATTTCTAAAGGCCAATACCTCTACTTAGATGACGATGCATGGTCCTGCACAACGTCATTACATGTGGTTTAAAATTAATGCCCGTGTACGCAATAAACCTCTCTTGATTACTTCAAAAAAAAAAAAAAAAAAAAAAAAAAAGATTTCATAAAAGCTCTGTTGTGATGATTGCTATAATGCCGGGCAGTACATTAATACTTTGTCGTATTTCTACCGATAAATAAACTTAATTGTGCTGTAACTACTGATTCGTGCACAAGTGAAGAACTGGCAAGAATGTGACGTCAGTCCGATGTGACTATGACGTCAAAGTGACGCTGTGACCTACAAAGGGACGTCTTGCTCTTACTGGGAAATTTGAAGGCACATTTTGATTCATTGGCTAGTGCCCAAAACTTCGTATTTCAGCTTGAATAAAGTAAATTTAGTATGATCATATAGTGAACCTGCCCTGCGAATTAGCTTAAAATTGGAAATTCAACTTTGTGGTCGGTTTTAGTGGTACATTTTATTCGTCCAAGGGGGGATAAGACGTGTTACAAATCCTCTCTCTTATAAAAGTCGATTGAAGAGGTCATAGAGGATAAAAGACAAACAACAAATCACAACCCGTCGGCCCAAAAATTAAATATCGCAGCTTGAGGCCAGTAAATGAGTTTCTTGGAACTTTCCTGTGGGTGAGACGCCATGCTATCAACCTGATTAATCCAACCATCGATCATAATTCGTTCGTAAATGACGTCATCGCCCCCCCCCCCTCAAATATTGATCATCAGCGTGCTCGTAAGGCAGAATAATTGTAAAACGCCCAATATCTAATATTCTCAATACGAAATGTTAGAGCAATGAGGGGAACATCACTCCATATTTCAGTTGCTAGGTTTAACTGTCACCTTGCTGGCAGGGTTAAAAGGGACTTTCTAAAAGTAAAGGCTACGCAAAAGATAAAAAGCTGTGGATTATAATCCTGTTTACAGTAGTTTTGTCGCTGTATTTATCATAGCTTCGTCACTGTGTCTCGGGTGTTTCATTATAATTAGAATGTAATTTTTGTTGGTTTAGGAATCTTAAAACAAATATCTTTTGAAAAGACCATTTTGCCTTCCTTCAAATTTAGATGTTCGCTCGTTATATAGTCAGTTGACAATTGATCAACTGCCTCGGGGGAGGGGGGTTAGGAGGAGTCACCGTTGATCCACCATTGCTCCCACCATCTCCTTTTGAGGAAAATAAAATCAATTCCAAAGGGCCGGAAATTATTTGAAACAACAGTAATAGTATGTACCTGCATGTTTTCAATTAAAAGACCATTTAAATAGTCAAGAAAAGTTCTGGTACTCGATAAGCATACATGTAGAACGACAGTTTTTGTACCTATTTCCCTGCGTCTTATCTATCAACACAGAATATTTACCGCATTTCTTGGGGTTTGAGGTTTTTTCAAACATTTTGATCTTACCAAGTGTTTTTTTTACTGCAGAGCTGTAATCGGTGAGAATAACCCAGCTGTGGTAGACTTGATTATAGCAACGACAGACGCAATAAAACGTCTGGAAACCACACTTCCGGGTGGAAAATGAATCTCTTCTCGCGGAGTCACTTAAGCTAACGTCTGCATTTTTGGGATAGAAACCAAATGACATTAAATCTGTTTTCCCATTCAAGATTTTCTATTGCTATTCACGTGTGGGCATGGGTAGGCCCAAAAAAAATTTTTTTTTCATTTAAATCAATCCTAGTGAAAAAGTATTAATGAATTATTGTCAGTACATTTAATCTTGTATTATTTTCCCTTATTCCTCACGTCCTGAAATAATGGACAAGCTATTTTCAATCATTCTTGCCAAGTTATCATGCATGTTACCTCATCTGCCTAACAACTTCAGATTTGATGTCGCCAGCTTTTATGCACTAGAGACTCGTGTTATGAATATGACATTGTTTTATCCATTTCGAATTAAGAGGATCGTGAAGTGGAAGAAGTATTCAAGCATAAAAAGGGCAAATCGCTGCGAGCAGGGTTCGAACCTGCGCGGGAAAATCCCATTGGATTTCAAGTCCAACGCCTTAACCACTCGGCCATCGCAGCTCGTGCGTGTGTGTCAACTTGTTTTGTGACAAAAAATAAATAAATAAATAAAATAAAAATAAAACAAACAATACAGCCAATTCGATCAAAATAATTTTATTGTAAAAGGGTATTGATTTGTAAATATATTGTAAAAAGTGGAAATATCTAGTCTTATCGTTTGTCGACATGCTTCATGTTAGCGATTTGAAAAGCAAAAAAAGTCAATTTTAAAAAAAGCTTGAAAAAAAAACTTCAGATAATGTCTTTGATGAAATAAATCACTGGATACGAAGCAAAAAAAAAAAAAAGTTAATCGCTCTGAAAAATTGCAATTTACTGAAAGACGTTGATAAATTGCTGATTTGACTCCTATCGAAGACCATCGCTTGTTAATAAGCGTATATCCACCATGGTTCAGATGCAGTAACCTTTTACACCGCCTTCTCGCGCGCTATCAGCGACCCATGAATGCAAAATAATGCCAAACGCAAAAAGTGTTTTTGCTTGACAGCACATACGATTTTTTTACAAACGATGTTCAGAAATGCAGCTGAAAATTAGAAATAGGCTAGAAAATATGGCGCGGGGAGAACGGCACAATGTACAGTAGGCCTAGGCGAAGTCAATATGTTTTCCATAAATTTAAGACCGCCATGTCTTTTCGTGCATTTCAGAGGAAAATATCGACATTGGGCACTTTTATTTAAGGAGTTTTATGGAATTGCGAAAGATAAGTTGGTTTATAGCATAGAAAATATTACTTTGAAAACATGGACAGTTAACCTTCAAAAATAAAAGACAGGGAAACATTTTACACATTTAGTGTTGCCCCGCTAGCAAATCTTGAGTCACCGTCAAAACCAAGGCAAATATTGTCATACTGGTAATTGATGAAATAAAGCAATGTTGACTTTGTGGCGGGGTTTACAGCCAGTAAAATGAACGTTGATGAGATTTTTGTTGTCTTATAGGGGCTACACTTATTCGCCTTTGAAAATGCTTTCTTTTCGGGTAGACTGTGCTGATATATCATGCGCTTGGTACATACTCTTTAAAGGCAGAATTATTGTCCCTCTTCAAACATCACTGGTTTTTTGCGGTGAAATGCAGTGCACGTATTAGTAAAAGAAATAATTTTTTTTCAAATAGGAAATCTTGAAATCTTGGAGTAAAAAGGAAAATATCCCGAATATTATATGGATAAATTCGATATTCTATGTTCCTATTACGCTTTAACTGAATCTTAATGGTTGATATCTACACTATATTGTCCAGTTGTATGTCTACTTGAGAGAAATGCACACAAAGTACCGTATGTAAGTACAGTATTTTATATCGTAACAGAACGCCAAATGCGGCCTTTTAACACATAGAAGACTTAATATATAATGTATATAATATTTAACAAGAGAACAAGGAATTTTGCACTAAAATGGATTTTGTATATTTTCCGTGCGGTAAATAAATTGCACAAGGCAAATAGACCTGCTTGTAAGGTACAGTACATGCACAGAACTTTTAGGCTCATCTTCTACATTACGTAAATTTAATTGGATAATTCCAATATCTGACTTTTACTGGCTCAAATGACGATTAAGCTATATTGGTAAGCGCCCGAACACAATGCACAGTCTGTAGCCAGAGATTTAAGATAAACGGGGATAAGTTCTAATTCACACAAAATCACGCCGACTTTTCCTCCCGCATATTCAGAAGCCGGATTAATGACCTCCGTTTGTTTACACGCGTTGCATACGATCTTCTCGCTCTGTTTACCTGCGTTATACATGATCGGTCTTTCTCTGTAAATACGGTGCAGTAAATACGCATAAACTTTTGAGTTTTAGTCTTAACCTCTCCCGTATCGATTGTCAAATATCAGACAGGTTACTGCTTAACGAAGATTAGGAAAAGTAAACAGGCTTCTGATATGCTAAACCAGAATCAGCGGTTTTGTCAAGACCTCAAATGCGTGTCGTTTAGCCTTTGCTGGAGGCCTTTTTGCTAATTACACCATGGAAGGATTTATGTCAAGCCTTTGGCCATGCAGTTTGCCTTTAGAAAACGCACACTTGTGCGATATTATTTGCTTTTTGAAATGAATCTGACCTAAAAAGCCAATGACAAACTTGACATTATAGATTGTTTTTCTTTTAAAAAAATTAAGAGAGAGAGAGAGAGAGAGGGTCTGTCGCGACACTTACTGATTAAAGGATGCTAAAATGCAAGGGTACCAATTACGCACTTGAAGAACGAGAAAAGAGCTAGGTCTAACAGGCCCGTAGCCAGCAAATTCAAAAGGGGGGATCTTTTTCTGAAAAAGTGGACCTTTTACAATGAACGTTAGGCCTATGTGTACCTAGATACAATTTTACCCAAAATGGACCTTTTCCTGACAAAAGGGGCGGTTCTTTCGAACCCCCCGAACCCCCCTGGCTACGGGCCCGTCTAATAATGTCTGATTTCTCCATGGCGTTTTTACCAAAGTAAATCGCTACCGTCATGGTAATAGAATTCACCTTTAATTCATTTCAGACAATCAGTCAACGAGATCCTTGATTCATTTTCATATTGATCCTACATTTACAATATAAATAATGTATTTAACTTATATTTAACCTTTTAATTAATTAATTGTAATTAATTTATTCAGTTATTCATAAAAAATCTGAAGATATATAGCTATGTCGGCCAAGTGAATAGGCGTTGGACTTCAAATCCTATGGGATCTTCCCGC